CAAGCCCACACACACGAACAAAGCCAGAGCGAGATGGACATAGAAGGCGGGAAAGAGATGGAGAGAGAGAGCTACAGAGAGAGACTGCAATGGACACATATTTTCTGATAAATTATTGCATTGTTGATTTATTTTTGGCTTTTCGCTGTCTGCGGCTTAAGATTAATTTCCTTGCGTTGTTGAATTCACACTTATGTGGCGCCCAGCGTGCCACCCACTCGACTGCAGGCGACCAAACCGCCCACCCACAAGCCACCCAAAAACCACCCACACACCACACCACTTCTGGCCAATCCAATCCCTTTGTGTGTGTGCCCCAAGTCGTTAAATGGCTTTTTAAAAAGCGCCAATAAAAATTAAATCAAATAAATATAATTTTTAATTAAAATTCCCTTTAATCTTTTTACAATTATTACCAGCTTAATGTACAACAATAACAACAACGACAACAAGGACAACAATGGCGAATGAAACAAGGGTTACAAGGACATCAATTGCAGCAAGGACCAAGCAAAGGTAGGGCACAAACAAAAGATTGAATCCCATCAATTGGATTGGATTTTTTATTAAGCTGCGATAAGCGGATGCCGAGTTGGACTTATATACGTACATGTATGCGTAAGGATATGCATATTGCGGTCAAGAAAGGGGAAAACGGATTCAATTGGCAAAAGGAAGGTTAAGTTGCCAGCTTGCCTATGTTGTGTATTATATACGAGTATATATCGATAATACCTGCAGGACCTCGTAGAATTATGCTGCCAATGGGTAATGATCAGCATTAACAACCAAATCCGTTTATCTCTGTGTGTTATGTCTGCTCAAATTGTGCAAATACTTTTTTAGCTATCAGTTGCATTTGCGAGAGGGAAACAATTATTTAATATTTGGAATTAAAGCACAGCTAAAAGATTTTCCATTAATAGGATTAGTTTGTAATGATTGTCGGGCTGTTGGGGCCCAATTAAACATTCAACGGAGAGTTACTCATAAAGAATATTGAATTTAAATGCAAATACCTTTTCCTTTTTTAAAAGAAATATAAATTTAAGTATTGAATGTATATTAAAAGGTTATATGTTTAGATATAAATGAAATACGATAATATATTCATGTATTTATCAATTAAAAATATATTTACAACCTGCTAAATTCTCTTTGGGCAAAAGTTTCCTTATTGGGTTTATTCGTTTATAAATAGATTAAATATTATATTTAGAAAGCGATTATATAGGATTATGTTTTGATGTTTATATTAAGTTGAACTAATTTCATTCTGCTAAGCTGTCTTTGGGTCAAAGTTCACGACTTGTCTGCCCTTTTCTAGTTTAGTGAAGTCACTCAGCAATTTTATGGACCGTTTAACTATCGCTCTTGACCGCTGCAGTTACCGCGAACTTTTCTATTGTTAGCATCGGTTATCATTTAGGTTTCTCATATTGTTTGCCGGCTGAAGTGGGCAGAGTACTCATGTACTCATGTACTCATGTACTCAGTACTCAGTACTCAGATTCCGGACCAAGTCTAATCTGTGAGTGGTGCGTGTGTGTGTTGGGGAGAAAAGTCGCCGGCTAAGCCGCTCGTGAGTGGCCTTTGATTGGCCATCAGTCAGCCACTCAACCACCCAACCACCCAACCACTCGCTCACCGAACCACCCACTGATTGAGCCACCAAGCGACTTTTTCCACCATATGCGTGTGTGGTTTGCCCCAAGGTGCAGGCGGGAATATCGGAGGGCCAACTTCATATATATTAAAACCCATGGAACGTAAATATTTAACGAATACTTTATTTTGCAGCCAGAGGAACAAGAAAATCTATTTTTTTTTTTATGGGATATGGGATATCTCTCCTTACATTTTTTTTGCCCTTTGAGTGGAAAACTTTGTCTGTTTGGCCGGGTTGGTTGTTGAATGGCGCGAATGCAACATGTGTGTGTCCTGTGGCTCGAAAGGGTTAGGGACTTAAAGCTAGACGGAGTTCGCTTTAATAATAATTAAGTCTCGACTTGGCAGCAGTTCTGCTTGGCCATTGCAACGGAGGCAAGTTAAAATGATGACCCAGCCGAACAGGCACTCCGTTGCCAGAATCCCATAATGATTGCCAAAAAAAAAAAGGGGGAGACTCCTCCCCCTCCCCGCCCCTCCTCTCAAAAGCTGGCTGAAAGTGAGACAAAAATTCCGAAGGGGAACTGTGCGGGGTATCTGTTCCTACAAATTGCAGCGTTAATTGCATACAAAGAACAAGAAAAGTGCCCAAGAAATTGTAACAAAAGGCCGTTTTCATTTCCGTTCCCATTCCGATTTTACAACATCCAAATGTGAGGGGGCGTGGCCATGGGTGGAGGGGGAAGAGGGGAAGGGGGAGGGGAAGGGGAGGAGGTGGAAAGGCGCCTCACATAGTTGACAATTGACGCATTTGCAATTCAACACTCGAGCTGAACGCAGCTCGAGCGTTGCGCAATCAGCGGCCTCGCGTTTCACGTTCGTCCTTTCCCCCTCTTTCCTCCCTCTTCCCCTTTCCCCCCCCTTTACCACCCCCCGCTAACTCCTTCGTCCTGGGAGCGTTTAGGCATTTGCATTTTGATGCCTCTGCGGGTGAAAGGGAGTCGCCTGGATCCTCAAGTGGAAATGGATGTGGAAGTGGAAAGTGGGGGGAGTGGAACTGGGGGCGACATAAATATTTGCAGTGTTTGATGTGGCAGCTTTGGGTTTGGCTTCGAACTGGTGACTCCTCGGCACCACTGCACTGCGAGAAACTCGTAGGCAAAGGGACTTGCAAGACCGAAAAAGTGAAAGAACTGGTGCGTTTCATACTTAAAAAAACACGAAGTTCTTGTTTTGAATAATGCAATGCTAGGAATCGTCCGCAAAGGGTTATATTTCTTTTAACACATATATATTTTTATTTTTTTTTTATATTATCTTTTAAAAATTAAATACAAAAATGTATCATCATGAGCTTCCAATAAACACAAGTTTTTTAAGCAACTAAAAAAGAACCTAGTTAATTTACAAAATAATGTTTTAATATTGTTCCGAACATTCAGATTCAAATGATATTTAAAAGTGCCGGATTTTTCCTCGGTGTAACGATGCTGGCTTCTCGGATTTATTAAGTCGAGCACCAGTGGAATGTGTGTGTGTGGGTGTGCGTACGTGTGTGAGCCAGCGTGTGTGTGTGCGGGAGGGTGGGGGTGTGTGCATCTTGCTATTCCTGGAGGCGCACTTGCCTTAATTATTGCCTGGCATGCTGCCCGTGGAAAAAGGGGCGTCGCAAAAGGGGGGTGGTAATTGAGCGGTGGGCGGGGGAAGGGGAAAGGGGTCCTGCATTGGGGAAATGGGAAATAGGGAAATGGGAAAATAGGAAAAGGGGGAACGGGAAAACGGAGTGTCAACAGTTTATGAAGTGGACTCCTCACGCTTTTCCTCCGACTCTGACTCTGACATTCCTCCACTTCTTTCCCGTCGTCGGTCTCCTTTGGTTTTCCTCGCTTTTCCGGCACATTGGGGGCATAATCAAACGGTAATTGGTGCGGGCAACGATTTTGCAAATTGAAAGAAAGCACAGAGAGCTAGGAAAAGCGCAGAGAGTGGGGGAGAAAGTCCAAGGGGAAAGGGGAAGGGGGAAGGGGGAAGCGGGGGAAAGGAAGAGAGTGCAGACAGAGACAATTTTCTATAAAAACTAAATTTGAAATTGTGTTGACTTAATGTTTGCGCATAAAGCGGCAACCAAAATGGCAAATGCACTCACACGACCAGATGGACATGCTAAAGGACATGCCAAGGGACACTCACACACACACACACACACGTCTTCGTCTCCTTCTCCGTCAGCGTGTGTGTGAGAGGAGATACACAGAGAGAATTGCTGAGTTTACTTATCACGTCCTTGAAATCGAAGGAACTCGTATTTTTGCGTGTACTTTTTGAGGTAATCAAATTGAAATTTCCAAAATGTGTTTTAGTTATTTGTGAGTTTTTAAATAAAAAAATTATAATTAATAAAATTGATTTATACATAATTTGCTAAAGATTTTTGCCTATTAAACTAATAATCTACTGACTCTTTTTGTACTTATGTATAAGTTGTTTTAGGCCAAAAGATCAGCTTTTGTAGATATTTCTTTTTTCGCGAAATTTAACACCACATAGAATATTTAAAAAAACTAAAAGTAATTAAATTGTAATATCCTTTAACTGCCGGCAAATAATTATATATATTTATATTATTTAATTTGTTAGCTTTAGCCAAGTTTTGTTCTATCGAATTTCTCTCAGTGCATATGCGGAAGGATGCCTGGTCTTCTGGTGTAGCACTTTGTGCAATGTCTCGCCTCATAGTCGTCATCTTGGTGGAAATTTATTTTCATTGCTGCCGCAGGCAATGGCAATATCAACAGACTAGTGGGTGGTGGGTGGTGGGCGGTGGGTGGTGCGATGTGGGTGGGTGGTGCCCCGAGCAGGAAATGGCAATGTGTTAGTTTTCGCATTCGCATGGAAAGTCGCCTGACCTTTGCCACGCGTCCTGGCCGAAAGTGTGCCCGATTCCCCCGGGCTTCTGCTGCTGCCACTTGATGGGGAAATCGAACTACGAGCCCAAGTTTCCCCACCGTAACTTTAATTCGCAAAAGTTCTTGCAAGTGAGTGGCAATTGAGGTTTAATCCGAAGTGCGCGCAAAACAATACATTGCTGTAAGTAAACAGAAAATGTGGCTTCAGATCAGAATTGAGAACAATTGTTAGGTATAATATTTTCTTTATCTTATATATAAAAATGAATCGCAAAATGTGTTGGTAAGCGCATCACATGAAAACGGCTTGACCGATTTGGCTGAAAATTGGTAGGGAGATAGCTTAGAACAAGAAGAAGGTTGTAGCATAAGAAAATTATGGGAAAACCTTCTGGAAAAGTCGCTAGCGGCTTAACAGATGTACACAATGTTGTATGTAATTACGCAATCGTTCTTATGGGGTAGGCAGTAGGCATTCGGTTTTAAGTAAAAAGGTTTGCTTTATCAAAGTTTTTATAAAAAAAAGTGTTTTGTTTGTGAGTAGTGAAAAAATAATGCCTGCTATAAGACGAAGCAATTTAGGTAGAAGAACCAGAAATGCTACAAACCAGTCTAATTACCGATCTAATCGTACTGCACAAGAACGTGAATACGTAATTGAACGTGAAAGAATTCGGATATCACAAACGCGTGAAGCGCGAGCGCGACATTCAACTAATAATCGCGCAAGTTTGAATCGAGCTGCTTTCAGTTACGATGTGTCAATTGACTACAGTAACTACCAATGTGTTGTTATTGGTTCTATGAACTACGTTTGCTCAAACTGTAAGGCATTAAAATACAAAAACGAAGCCAAAGGATTGTGTTGCGCAAATGGTAAAGTGAAATTGATACCATTGGATCCACCACCAGAACCATTGTACTCATTGGTTTCAGGAATAGGAACAGAATCTATACACTTTTTGACACATATCCAACAATATAACAATTGTTTTCAAATGACTTCATTTGGGGCAACAAATGTAGTTCGGGAAAATTTTATGCCAACTTTCAAGGTATGTATACACCAAAGTTAAGATGTGTCACTAATCTTTTCAATTTCTTAATCATTACGAAATATATCACTTAGTCATCATATTTTACAGATACAAGGGCAAATATATCACAGAGCAGGTTCACTGTTACCAGTGTCAGATAGCGACAACAAATTCTTGCAAATTTATTTTATGGGCAACTCACCACAAGAAATTGATCTGCGTTGCGCACATAACAATTTAGTAAAGAGGTCTATTGTAGAACAATTACAAACTTTATTTCATCAACGAAATCAATTGATTATATTGTTTAAAACTGCCTTGGATCTGATGCCATCCGATAATCACAAAATTGTAATCAGAGCTGATAAAACACCTGCAGGTCAACATACAAGACGTTTTAATGCACCAACTATTGACGAAGTTGCTATCATTGTAGTTGGAGAAAACTTGGAATCCCGTGATATTGTTTTACATCGTCGGAATGATCAATTACAACGTATAAAGGAAACACACCGCTCATATGATGCACTGCAATATCCCATTATATTTTGGCAAGGTGAAGATGGCTACGATTTCTCAATAAAAATGATAAATCCCATTACAGGTTACTAAAATATTAGTTTAGCTTTGGCGATAATATCTCAGTCATTATATTGATGTTATTAAAACAAAATCTATTTACAGGCTCTGAAACCAACAAAAAAGTCAGTTCAATGAACTATTATTCATACCGCCTAATGATTCGGGAAAATGAAGATAATCACAAATTGAAATGTCGGCGATTATATCACAAATATGTTGTTGACATGTATGTTAAAATTGAAACGGAGAGATTAACATTCATCAGGTTGAATCAAACCAAACTTCGATCTGAAGAGTATATTCACCTTCGAGATGCGATTAATACTGATGGAAATGCACAGAATGTCGGTCGGATGACTATTCTTCCATCAACATACATCGGAAGCCCACGGCATATGCACGAATATGCTCAAGATGCCATGTCGTATGTTCGTCATTATGGTACAGCAGATTTGTTCATCACATTTACATGCAATCCGCAATGGATAGAAATCAAGCAGGAGTTATTCTCTGGGCAATCACCCATTGATCGTCATGATATTACAGCCAGAGTCTTTAGACAAAAGTTAAAATCTTTAATGGATTTCATCGTAAAACATAATGTGTTTGGTGAGACACGCTGCTGGATGTATTCTGTGGAGTGGCAGAAACGAGGATTGCCACATGAACACATTTTGATTTGGTTGGTTGAAAAGATAAGGCCAAATGAAGTTGATGCAGTGATATCAGCTGAAATCCCTAATGTACAAGTAGATCCTGGATTGCATGAGGTAGTTATCAAAAACATGATACATGGTCCCTGTGGAACTCTTAATCAAAATTCTCCGTGTATGATTGATGGTAAATGTTCAAAACGATATCCACGGACATTCATATCGGAAACAATTACTGGTAATGACGGTTATCCATTGTATCGTCGCAGATCGACAGCAGACAATGGAAAATCAACAATTGTCAAATTAAATCAACAAGATATTGAAATAGATAATCGTTGGATTGTTCCATATTCACCCATTTTATCAAAGACATTCAAAGCACACATCAACGTTGAATCTTGCCATTCAGTGAAATCTATTAAATACATTTGCAAATATGTAACCAAAGGGAGTGATATGGCTGTGATTGGAATTGGTGCAGAGAATTCCAATGATGAAGTTACCCAATACCAAATGGGCCGCTATGTCAGTAGTAATGAAGCAGTTTGGCGAATATTTTCTTTCCCTATTCATGAGAGACACCCTTCTGTTGTTCACTTAAATTATTTTTTATTCACAACGCCCTATTACAGGGTGACGGTTCTGTTTAGGAGATTTTTTTTAAATACGTAGGCACAAAAACTGCCACATTACAAATCTTTTTGACAGGACGAAGTCTGTCGGGTCAACTAGTATATTATATTAATTGGGAATAAAAGGTAATAACCATTTTTTAAATCAGGCTCACAGAATCAACATTTGTGTTGCTATTGTTATTCTTTTTCTTTGTATTTTAAATATTAATATTAAATATTTGAATATTAAGGGAACACTAAACATATTTTAATTTGTGATTGATTTTTTTTTTTAATGTAATTGAATACGTATAAAATGATTCAAAACATACTATTTAAAATCTACAATTTTTGCATAAAACATAAAGCTGTTTTAATTGTCATGCGTTTCCAAATATAATTGTGCAGTCAAGTAAACAGTTTATAAAGTGAGTGGCACTGGATTTACCTTTAACTTTGATGAGTTATGTCGGCAAAATAAAGAATTGTGTCTTAGATGTTCAATAGGTTTGTGATTCTCCCCTCACCTCCCGCTTTTTAGTGCTGTTTTGGAAATGCCTTTAAGTTTCTTTCTTGTTGAATATATGGTGCGATTTTTTTGTCGAGCAGATTTCTTTCCTTGTCCGCTTCTGAGTGAGTTCCTTTTTTTCCAGCAGTCCGTTTTATCCTTTTGGTCCTTGCTACCCCAATACCCCCGATACTCCACTTCCCCGCTACTCCAACCACTGACAGACGGCGAGCTGGGCATTACCCTCCATCATTTCGGGCAGCAATGAAAGTTGCAGCTTAGCGGCAGCAGCAACATCAGCAGCAGCAACAACAGCAGCAGCAGCAGCAGCAGCAGCAGCAGCAACAACAGCAGCAACAACAGCAGCAACAACAGCAGCAGCAGCAGCAACAGCAGCAACAACAGCAACATCAGAAAGAGCAGCAACATCAGCGGCGGCAACGCGTTCAAGTGAAAAGTCCGCAGCTGCTGCCCGCACTTCATGTACTACGATTCCAAATGTGTGAGTGTGCCAGTGTGTGTGTGTCTCTATCTGTGTGCAAGTGTGTGAGTGTGCGAGTGTTAAGCTTTTGCTCGACGCTTTGTTTTACTGCTTAGCTTTGGTCAAGTCCAGTCTGGGGATGCGCCTCCGCTTCTGCTGCTGCTGCTGCTGATTCTTCCACTGGCTCAGCAGGCTCTACACTGAGAGAAATGGGGTTAATGGATTCGAGGTTCAAAAAAGTATATTAAAACAGAAATACTAATGGCCATAAGAAACATAAGAAACTGATTTAGAAAATAGTTATGGCACATTTCGGAAGTGAATACATCTTCCACAGAAATGTTTTTTGTACCACAAATATTTTAATTGAAACCTTTAAAATCATTTTACTAAGCAATAAACTGTCTTATTTTTGAAAAAGTGGTTTTAATATATGCAAGTTTTAAATATATTATTTAGGGTGCATCAATCTTTAGTTAGGCTTTCTGAATTTCTAGATCATTTGTAATGTGTGAAATTGAAATGGTAACAGATTGTTTAACATTGTAGCTTTCCCATTAACTTCTGCATATTTTCACTGCAATTTGGCAACATGCTGTAACTTTCTCTCAGTGCAGTTCCCTCTGAGTCCGCAGACGTGACTGGCCAGTGGCCACACGCTTGGCGAGATTCCCAACACTTGGTTCCCATGGACGAGGGGCTCTCGATGGGGAAGTCGGCGGGAGCGGAGTTCAGGTTCAGTGGCGACCCTCGCGCGGGCGTTCACCCACCCAAGAGTCCCCTCCCCCCCCTTGACCATCCCCATTTGCCCCAGTGCCTATTCCCTCGCTGGCCATGATAGCTGTAATCGAGGAAATCCCATAAGAGACGATTTAATCCCATATTTCAAAGTTATTCAAGTGCAAAAATGCCAAAAAGGAATGCAAACATAAGCACTGCCAGGACACGGACACGGACATTCTCAAAGACAGAAGTGGGTGGTTGGGTGATTGGGTGGTTGGGTGGTTGCTTGCTTGGTTGGTTAGTTGATGGTGGTGTGGTGGGTGGATTTAGCCACTCCTATTGGGAACTGGGCCACCTGGTGCAACCTTCTCCTGACCGCACACTTTGCCACTTTGTTGCACTGAATCAATTCTAGAAAGCAGCGCATCCCGCCGAGCTTCCATTCAACCCGCCGCACTTCCTCCTCCTCCTCCTTCGCCTGCCGCCGTTTTCATCATTTCTGTGCGATTGCACTTGATTTCGTTTCATTTAGTTTTTTGGTGGATGGGAGGAGGAGATTCCCTTTAGGATTCAGGAATTGTTTTGTGCCTTGTACTTGGACTGGTAATCCCCAACAATTAGCTGCAGATTTGAACGATAATTGGACAATCGCACTGGCGCAAACAAGGCATCCTGATCCCGATCCCAATTCCAATCTGCGATACCAATCCCAATCGCAATCCCAATCCCAATCCCGATCCTGCAGCCCCGTCACTTCATTGCAGCCGAAGCTGGCAATTAATTGCGTTTCAGATAGTTTATAAATATGGCGCAGCTTTAAATTGGCTCATTAAATTTCATTGACACATTGACAAATTGACCACGCACAAATAGGGTGTCTCACCCTATGTTTCCCTGCTTTTTTAGATCCTAACCTTTAAGGTACAAATTTAAAGTGAGTGCTGCTTTCTTTCTTTTGCTGGAATATAGAATTAATTTTACAACTTTGATATTACAATAATCAAACATGGTGTAAAAGCTAGCTAGGATTAATCAGGCAATAGCCATGCCTATATCAAATTTGTTTTGAATTTTCGTTATCCACTTTTGCAGTAAATTTAAAATATATTTCCACCAGAAGTAATCAAATAAAAAAATATTATAAAGATAAGAAGTATCTTAATTTAAATGATATTATGGAGCAATATTTCCAACTTAAGTTATCTCAAGAACCAATTCCAATTAAGTAAAGTTGTATGACAGGTCGTTTTTCGATTTTTAAAGGTTTAGGTCTATTTTTAAAGGGAACATTTTTAACGCTTTAATAATGTCATAGAAATTACCAAAATTAATATGTTTTCTTATTGAAAATTTAATAATAACTGAATACATCCTAAAACTGGATATTAGGCAAATCGTTTTCAAAAAAATAACTACATAAGTCGCCTAATTTTCAAGGTGTCAACACATAAGCACATGAAATGCAAAAAGTGTGTTAATTGCGTTGCAGTGTCGCACCTTCTGCATGGGGCACCCAACTCCCGTTAAATTTGCACATCCTGGCAGGAGTCCTTGCAACTCGAGGCACCCTGTTTGCGCAACGTACCGCAATCGGAACGCCTCACATGCTCGCCAGAGCAATTTACTCGCGAGCTTTTCTGTTTTTTTTTTTCCGCTTTTTGTTTTTTTTTTTGTATTTTTTGGTGTCCTGTGCAGTTGTTTTGTTGCTCCTGTCTCCTTGCACTTCCTTTTTTCTATCCTTTTTGGCTGCCGCTGAATTTTTTCGTGCTCCTGCCGATGATATCGTTGGTTTTGTTGTTGTTGCTGTTGGTTCCCCATTTTGTGACTACTTTTTTTTTTAGTTCTGTTCAGTGGTGCTGCCATTGTAGTTGCCCCACGGTTTTGTGCTCTCGTTAGAGCCAATATTCAGAGCCAGACTCGCTTGCTGCCCTTCTGCAGGACACTTTACTGCGGCAGGACTCGGTTCCCTCTACTATCATTACACTAAGCGAAGGAAGATTCTTGGACTACAGGTATTTCCTACCTCTACCTTAAAGGTTAGAAATGTATATTAATGTTATCTACTGCCATAAAATATAAACATCTTTCAATACAAAGTTTTATAGCTTGGGGAGGTTGAGCAAGAATTAGGGGAAAGTGTTACAATATAATACTATCTGCTATCTATCTATCTATATATATACGTAACTATCTGTATCTACTATCTTTTTCGAGACTCCAAGCCACCAACTATTCAAGCACACTTCATACGAGGAGATTTTCAACAGAAGAGCTCGATAACCAAGTGCGCTTTTCGGCATTTGGGTGAGACTGCAACAATATTTTGATTGTTTTATTTTGTATTTAAAATGTGTATTGGCACTTCGGAATATTGGGTATTCAGGGCTTTGGCCCGATATTTGTTTTAGTGTGGCGATGGAGCTGCCATCGGTCTCCTCCGCTTACCTTTCGACCACTGCGATGACAACGCTGGAAAAGCCAAGCTAAAAGCAAACGTATGAAAAGCGTGAGAAAATAGAGGCAGATGTATTTCCACATGCTTTTCCATACATCCGCTCTTACGTTGGCTTTTCCCCGTTTACCCCCTCCCCCGCCCCGGGTTTTCCTCCCGTTTTCCTCGCCAACGCCGTGTGCACATCCATTTGTAGTAATCGCTTTAAAATGATGGCAACAGATTTATGGTGGCTTATCTCGGTGAACTTGGAGTGTGCATAGCTGCTGCTGCTGCTGCTGTTGCAGGTGGCAAGCGAGAGCGTTTAGCCAGTCTCAGTCGCAGTCACCCTTCCCACCAACCTTTGACCCCGGCGACCCAATCGCTGGAAGGCGCCAAGGTGACAATCGCCGGGACCCCCGAGGAAACAGACTGAACCGAACTGCTCTGGTTTTCCGCTGAGGTGGACTCTCTACCTCTTTTTTGTATTTAATCAGATTCAAAAAAAAAACTATGAAAACAAACTAAATAAAGTAGGCATACGGAGCCATTTCCTTTGCTCTTTGTAGTACTATTCAAAGGATTTCTTCTTATTTGCTTATAAAGTAGTTACTTAGCTCTATTATTCAATAGGATGTCATTTGTCTATTATACCTTAACATACAATAAACTATTAAACAAAGCAAATAAAGTGCAACACATTTAATGAAGATTGTACTCTTATTTTTTCATGTTAAAGCAGAGGATTTAGTGCTTTTTATTTTGAAACTATACAAGTTCAAGAGCATCTCAATTAATCTTTCATAACCCTGTTGGTACTTGGCTGCCTTTGAGTGTGAAATTTGTTGAACTCAAAATAAACTTTGTAACCCTAGGTCTATAAAATATTAATAATTATAAATTAATACAATTGCTCTTAAGGTATGAATATTTCTCACAAGTATTTTTCATTTTTACA